CTCCCCTACACAAGGAGGAGCCATCGCTGAACAAGGCCCACTGCGCATGCGGCACCACCGTCTGGCACCGGCACCTGGCTGAGGCTGAGCTTGGGAGCGGCCAAGAGGGGGGTGTCCAAGAGGGGGGTTGCAAATCATGACCGGCGGCACGTGCGCGGCCCAGCGGGGGGGCCTGGGACGTAATGAAATAAGAAGAGGCGCCATGAAATCTGGGGAAACATCATGGCCCGCGCCATGATATCCACTCCCCCCTAGTCATCACCCCCCTCTTTTCCGCCCCCGAAAAAGCCCGCGGCCGGGCGCGCCCGGTGAAGGCCGAGCCCACGGCGAGGGCCGAGGGCACACGGCGCAGGCCGAGCGAGCGCACACCGAGGAGGCCGAGCGCGCCGGGCGCGGCGCCAGCGCCGGGCAGGGCGAGGGCCCAGGGCCGGGCGGGGGCCAGGCGCCCGAGGCAGGCCGAGGGCACGTCGCAGGCCGAGCGCCAGCTCCGCGCCGAGGGCCGGTCGATGGCTCCCAGCGATCGCGGGCAGGCCTGGAGCTCAGCTTGCGAATCATCGCCCAGGGCGCTGCTGCCTGACGGGCCCCACCGGGCACGTCTTGAGGCAGCAGGTTTTGCGCGCCGGAGGCGCCAATGCAGCGAGGGAAGAGCCTGGCGGCGCAGGTGGCACCGGCTGCAGGCACCAAACCTCGCCCCCCCCGCTTTCCCGATCCCGTCCTTCCGTCTGGCCCTGCCTTTTCTCCGCCTCTGCCCCGAAGCCTCCCTTGAGAAGTCTGATGCGTAGTTGACCGGCCTGGGGTGGACTCGGCGGCATCGCTGCCGCCAGGCGGACGGTGCCTATCCACTCCGTTGGGACTGGTTTCTAGATGTTGCCGTGATGCGCAGCCAGTGCATTGCATGGACAGGCGTTCATCATGCTCTGAAGGCCCTGCAGGAAGGGGGCGATGAGGGGAAACGCTAGGGGTTATCAGGCCCCTATCGGCGATGAATGCGCTCTTGGGGGTCGATGCACCCTCCCTGAGCCCAGCCCCCTTAACGTTGCTCCTGAGGCAGGGGGTCGGGACGTGGGACTGGATCTCTCAGGCGCTTGCTGCCTACCGGCGCGCCTGTCCTCCACCCCTGACGCGCGGGCTCTATGAAACTGGCGCGCAGAACGAGTCGAGGTACACCACGGAGTACTGCTTCAGCGGGCGAGTATGCAGCCGCAGGGAGGGAGGAGGAGGGAGAAGGAGGACTGTCATGAGGAGGAGACAGATGATGATGATGATGATGATGATGATGATGATGATGATGATGATGATGATGATGATGATGATGATGATGATGATGATGATGATGATGATGCGATGATGATGATGATGATGATGAATGATGATGATGAGGAGGAGGAGGAGGGGGAGGAGGAGGAGGAAGAGCAAGGAGGAGGAGGAGGAGGAGGAGGAGGAGAAGGAGGAGGAGAGGGGATAGAGGAGGCGGCGGAGGATAACAAGACGGAGAAGACGGAGGAGAGAGGAGGAAGGGAAAGAGGAGGAGGAGGAGGAGAGGAGAGGAGAGGAGAGAGAGAGAGAGAGGAGGGCAAGCCGGGTGCGCGCTCCCGCCACATATCCGTCTCTCGCCACATTTGGCATCCGGCCCCTCCCACCCATCCCTTCGCATCTCGTTGGTTTGTCTGTCTCTACAGACAGGGGGTCATCAGAGGCGGAGGAGCAGAGGAAGGAGGAGAGGGAGGAGCGCCTGTCGAGAGGGAGAGGGAGGAGCAGAGGGAGGAGCAGAGGGAGGAGAAAAGGGAGGAGGCGGAGAAGAGGAGGATGGAGGAGAGGGAGGAGCGCCAGCGCCAACGCGGTGGAAGAGTATGCAGCTGCGACGCTGCCACGGACCCTCCCTTCCCAGGTCCCCCCATGTCAGAAGCGCCTGCAGGTGGTCCCTTGCCTGCGGGAAGCGCCCTCTGGAATGACGAGGGCCCGGTGGGCTTGCCACTCGGGCGAGAGCCCGCCTTGTCAAGGATCCACCCTCCATCGCTCAAGTTAAAAGGGACGCAGAGAGGAGTAATGCTAAACTTCAACCTTAATCCCATTTAGAGAATGACCTGAAACCCATCCGTATAAGAATTGTGCAATGACAGATGCTCTGGTCATACAGTGTGCGGAAGCCTGCCCCATGTTGAGAAGGAGCCGCCCTCCATCTCTGCAGCTGCTGCGCTAGTCAAAATTTCGGGCCATAGGACGTGATGGAACCTCAAGCGAGACCCGCAATCAGAAGGCCACCTAGACTCCATACTTGTAATCTCTGAGAGCTTCAAAGAAAAGACGGTTGTGCGCGGCGCTAGCACCCAACTGTGAAGACCTACCGGCCTCCATCCGTGTACCCGGTGGGACAGCGTGCAACGCACGTGCGCAACAACTGTGGCCAGAGCCGCATTTTCGTACACGATCGGCCCTCCGTCCTGGCACTGACTGCACTTGTCCAACTGCACGCTCGCAGCCGGCAGGGACGACTCAAACCAGACGCTCGGCCCGGCCCACGGACACGTCTGGTGGTGCGACAGGGCCTCCCCCCCCCCCCTCCAGAAGAGCAGTGAGCGCAGCCCGTGGAACGCTCGCGCGAGCTGCCCTGGTCGGAGCTGGACCGCCCTTCCCCCCGGCGCACTCAGCGCGCGCCCAGGGGCGGCGCCGGATGCGCCGCCAGGAGGTGGGGGGTGAGGGTCCAGCGCCGACCCAAAATCCGCATGCACGCGTTTCCGTATTCGGCGTTTCGGCATGGGGCGGAAGGGGGGGGGGGGACGGGGGGGTGTCTGGCTCCAGACCGCTGCTGAATGCGACTGTTTGGAACCGGGCGTCCTGTGGAGGGGGCTCCGCCTGCTCGAAACTTTTTTTGATCCGTGGGTCGAGAGCGAGCCTCTTCCGGTCGAAGGTAACCGGGCCGCGCACAGCTTTAATTGACAGAGGGGGGAAGGCAGAAGGAGGGGCCTCACGTCACGCCACCTGCTCGAAACAGGCGCCAAAAACAGCCAAGAGCTACTCCAGGGGGGGAGGTGCGAGGGCCCGCGCCAATTGGCAAAACACTGAATCAAAAAAGATCAACAGACAGCTCCAAACGTTCATGCTTATGCAGATGTTGCTTCCTCGACCCTCCCCCTGTCCCAGACTTTGCCCAGAACCAGCTGTTCATCCCGAAAAAACAATCTTGACGGCCCCAGGGCCCAGGGGAGGGCCCCAGGGAGTTCAGAAGCGGGGCAATGCATCTTGGACCCGTTCCCTCCAGGACCCATCCCCGTCATGGCGAACGGATTGGGGGTCAAAAAATCGACCACAGGGCCTGTCCAGAGGTGCGTTTCAATCAGAACGCCGAGGCGAACCCAGCCGTAGCGACGAGGGCGCCCTGGGAGCCCCAAGAAGTCCCCCGAACGCTCGAAATCCTCGATCCCCCTCCCAATTCCCCTCGTTGAATCGATAGCGCGGACGGTTCTCCTGATGAAGGGCGGCGCCTTCGACCCCTCCCGTCGGTGAGCAGGCGGGAGGGCAACAACACCCAAGAGGTAGCAGGGGAGGTGATGAATGATGATGACGGGTAACTCCGACCATGGAGGAGGGAGAGGAAGAAGGGGCAGCTGAGCTCCAGCGCCGTGCGGGTGCAAAGCTGGACCGAAGGTGGGCCCCTCCCTCCCTGGGGGCGAGGGAGGGGCCCACCCCAGCTCACCTCTCCCTGAGTGGGGGGGGCCGTCCTCCTGCCATGCCGAGGCCTGTGCGTCGAAGCGTGCGCGGGGGGGGGGGGGGGCGGGGGCGGGGGCCGTGCGACGGCGGCAACGAAGACCTGCTGCCCGTCCTTGAATGCCCACTCTGGAGGAGGAGGAGGAGGAAGGAGGAGGAGGAGGAGGAGGAGGAGGAGGAGGAGGGGGGAGGAGGAGGAGGAGGAGGAGGAGGAGGAGGAGGAGGAGAGGCAGGAGTGGGCCGTGTGGGTAGGCGGGGATGTGCAGCAGGAGGCGTGCGGGAAGCGCTGCGGGGGGGGGGGGCGCGCCCGTGCCCAGGGAGGCGTCGGGCTCGTTAGCCTCGTGGAACATTGATCTTGCCACCGCTGGCGGGGGCGCACAGGCAGTCGTGTGCACCTTCAGGGCTCCAGTCTGCCAGCGAGGGCGTGGGCGCCGAGCTGGGCGTCAGGCCGCGGTGAGGGCGGCTGTGCAGGGAGGCAGGGAAGCACGAGGGGCGGGGGTCAAGGGGGGCAGGTGAGGAGCGGGTCTGGCCCGAGCGGAGCCACCACCACCCGAAGGGGGGTCAGTGGGGGCCCCCTGGGTTTGGTTTTTGGGTGCGTGCTGCCGTTTGGTTCACGGCCTCCAGGGGGAAACTGCACCTTGCCCGGGAGGCCTTTGCCGAGCTCTGCTCCTTTTCCATTCCCGCCCCGCCCCCCTCCCCTCCCTGTCCCGCGAGTGGCTGGCGGCTGGGACAGCTGGAGGAGGCTAGTGGGCGAAAGGGGGGTGAAGGGGGCTGCAAGAAGGAGAGGTGAGGGAGGTGTGCCGCGAGGTGCCTCAGAGGAGGTCGGTGAGGGTGAGGCTGGCGTTCAGGGAGCTCGTGAAGCGGAGGTTCTTGAGGTGCCCGTAGAACAGGAGATCGCGGTTGTGGGAGTAGGCGTGGTGCTGGAGTTGGAATGCGCTGCTGTGTGCCGCATAGGTGGAGGGTTGCTGGTGCCGCGTCGTGCGGTAGCTGGTGCTGCTGCTGCTGCTGCCGTGGAGGCAGTGAGTGCGTAGTGGAGGTGTGGCGTAGTTAGTGGTAGAGAGTTTTGGAAAAGGTAGGATCCAGCTGGATAGTGGTCGTGCCGTCCTTGGAGCAACATTGGTAGAGATGTGGGAGGGCAGCGCCCCGCAGTGGGCGGCTGCAGCTGTAGAAATTGGCGCTGGGAGAGGTTGGAATTGGCGCTGGTGCTCCTCGCGGCGAGGGTGGCCTGTGCCACGGGTCCTGCTCCCAGCTCTGGGCAGGGGTCGTAAGTTGCCAAGCTATGGGCCCCCTCCCCC